CTGCAGATTTTTTTAGGGCAATGCATCTCATTTCTTGACTGATGGTACTAAGGGTATTAATCGTGGATCCAAGCAAGATGAAGCTGTTGACAGTTTCAATCTCCTTTCCATTTATCATGATGCTGCATATCAGGCCAGTGATCAGAATCTTTGTTTCTTGACATTGAGATGCAATCCATGCAGAAAGCGTCATTCCTTAATCTAAAACAAGTGTTTCAAGTCCTCCTCATTTTGAGCAAGCAATGTTGTGTCATCTGCATAACTCACGTTATTGATGAGTCTCCCTCTCCCTCCAATCTGATGCCGCACTTCAGAGTCCAGCTTCTTGGATAATTTGCTCAACATACAAATTGAATAGGCGTAGAGAGAGAATAAAACCCTACCACATTCCTTTCTCAGTTTTAAACCATGCGATGTTCCCCTGTTGTGTTCGCACAAGAGCATCCTGTCCAGGTATAGGTTCTGCAGGAGCACAGTGAAGTGCGTTGGGACTGCCAATCTTCTATGTGTGTGTTTGGGTTTTCTTTGTTGTTGTTGTTATTTTTAAATTTTTTTAGTTTAAACTTTTTAAAAACAGATTTACTTATTAAGTTTGTATACATTGTTTTCCACACAGGATCTTTCCCATTTCCTTGACTGATCCCTCCTTTTACCCATCAAATTGTGAAACCTTATGATTACGCCGCCCAATCCTCTGCTCCCATCCCACCACCCTTTAGATCCTTATACACATTTTACTAGTTATCTATTTCTACAATAATGGTCTTATATAATATTTGACCTTATAGGGCTTAGTTAGCTTATTTAACATAATGCAATGATCTTGTAAACTCCCATTCTTCTTAATGCCAGTCACAACTTGTTATAATCCACACAGTCAAATGCCTCTGCATAGTCACTAAAGCACAAATAGACAATCTTCTGGTATGCCTTAGTTTCAGCCAGGATCCATCTGGTATCAGCAATAATATCCCTGATGCCATAGCCTCTTCTAAATCCTACTTTAACTTCTGGCAGTTCTCTATCCATGTACTGTTCTAGCCATTTTTGAATGGCCTTCAGTAGTATTTTGCTTGTTTGTGATATTAATGATATTGCTCAATAGTTTCTACATTCAGTTGAAACACATTTCTCGGCAATGGGAAAAAAATATAGAGCTTTTCAAATCCATTGACCAGATAGCTGTCCTCCAAATTTTCTGGTGAGAACATCCAAGGCTGCTTTAATATATGTTAATTGAAATAAGTTAATTGGTAGCCCATTGATTGTGGAGGCATTAATTTTTGTCAGTGACTTCAATGAAGCTTCCACAACAGAACCTGGTAGATGGGCCTTTTATTTAAAAGTTAGCTGGGTCCTCCTTGGAGTCTTTTGCTTGGAGCAACTGGATTCTGGAGGGTAAGTTGTTTTTATTTACTTGAAATCCAGGTGTATTTGGGCATCTTTTATTTTTTTAGCAATCAAGTTATTTGTTTTTGTTTGTTTGTTTGTTTTTGTTTTATTAACAGTCAGCTGTGAGATAAGGCCACTTTTTAAAGCAATCATGACCTTCTGGACAGACCTTTGTATTTAAAAGTTGGTTGGGCCCTGCCTGAGAGTTTCCAGCTTGAAGCAGTTGAATTCTGGAGGATAAATTTGTTTTGATTTACTTGAAAGCTGGGTGTAAACTGTTTGGGCTTTTTAAAATTTTGTTAACAATCAAGCATAACCTGATTGGCCTGTTTGATTTTGTTAACAATCAACTGGTGTTAATTGTGTCTAGGGAGAGCATGATAAAGCTTTTGTCTGTCACTTTGTTTTACTAATTTGGGGTTGTTTTGATACTGAAAGCTATGGCACTGGCATGTCAAATGTCATAAGGATGGTAGACAGGTTTTAGTGGAGCTCCCTGATTAAGACACCCTATGAAGCAGGATGGACCATCTACTTTCCTAAACAACAGACCTCTGAAAACTCTACAAACTGTGAGAAAACTCTTCTAAAAAAGGACAGTTATATTAGTATGGCGGTAGAGGCCAGAATGGAAGTAGTTGAAATGAGGAAAAACAATAACAAAAATTGTTAATAACTGGAATAAGAAATACATGTAGCTTAAATGTTGGAAAATTAGAAATTGTTAAAATGAAATGGAATGCATAAATATCAACATACTAGGCATTAGTGAGATGAGATGGGCCACTTTGGCCTCTCTGAATTAGATAATCATATGGTATACTATGGAGGGAAGAAAAAAACATAATAAGAATGCTGTTGCATTCATAGTAAAAATGTCAATTTCAACTTCCATCTTGAAAAACAATGTTCTGAATGATAGGATAATATCCATATACATACTAGGAAGACCCATTAACATAACTGTTATTCAGATATACACTATTACATCTAGAGTCAGCAAGGAAGAAATTGAGAATCTTAACCAAATCTTGCAGTCCAAAATTGACCAAACATGAAATCAAGATGCAATAATGAAATTGGTAACTGAATGCAAAAGTGGGAAAGTGGGAAAACAGTGAAGAAGAAATAGGAATTGCAAAATAGAGGCTTAAAAAAGAAGAATCCAATCATATTTCCCCTGTGGGATCACTGATTTTCTTGACCAGCCAATATTTTGATTAGCAGCATAGCAACTAAACTATTACACTAACATGGCTTCAGTTAAGGTCCATCTCCTGTTGCTGTGAAGTACTTTTATCTTGACCTATGCTATGTACTGAGAACTAAACTTGACCAGATCATGTGTCATCCTTAGAACCTCTGTTGTACTTAAATTTATTATTGCAGGAATTGCTGCAAAATCAGCTCATTGAGGGTCTTCCTCTCCTTCATTGTCCCTCTATTTTCCAAACATAATATCCTTTTTACAAGGGCTGATACCTCCTCTAACATGCCTAAAGTATGTGACATGAAGTTTTACCATCTTTTCCTCTAAGAAGCACTGTGATTACACTTTCCCCAAGACATATGTTTTTCCTTTTGACTATTATATATTTTCAAATCAGAGCTGTCTCATAGATCTCTTCCAGCAGGTTTTCAGAGGCAGTAAATTGTAAAAGAGATTGTTCATCTTTCTTCTGCTGAGCAGCTGGGGTTCCAATGTGTATTAGTTTGAACTGACAGCAGAACTCCTTAGTACTCAAACACAAGAGTTCCATTCTATTTGTAGTTCATAATACATTTAATAATTTTCTTTATCCCCAATACAAAGACATAAATTCTCCTTCTTCTTACTCTTGCTGTTAGGTACTCTCAAGTGGAGCATGACTCATAGAAACCTAATAATTTTTCCATCAAGATTCTAAGTTTTTGGACTGCCAAAAGAACAGATATGTCCTAGAAAGTGTCTGATCAGAGAGCTCCTTGTAGAGAAAGATAATGAAGCTTTGTCTTTCATACTTTCAACATGGAAACTTTCAACTTGGAAAGGGACATCATGCTAGGGAAGATGGACGGTCAGCGATGGAAAGGAAGAACTTCATCTCAAACACTAAATCAGAGATGGATTGACACTCTGACTTCAGCAATAGGCTCTCTGTAGACCTCAGAGATGGCCAGAAAGGCACAGAATAGAGCAGATTTCAAGATGACCGTTCCTATGGCCACTATGGGTCATACTCAACAGGACAGCACCTAATGACAATAGCAATATCAAGATTCTTCCCAACAGACCAGCTGTGGGAATTTTTATTTTCTTTATGATGAAATATAATTCATATTGAAGGCTAAAGTCATTTCTCTTCTATAGTAAGTACTTCAAATCCTCTTCATTTTAATTAAGCAATGTTGTTACATCTGCATAACTCATATTCTTGGTGAGTCTTCCTCTGATCCTGATACCACCCACATTCTTCTTCATAGAGTAAAACTTCCTGAATTATTTGTTCAGCCTACAGATTGAACAGGTATGGAGAAAGGATACAACCCTGACACACATTTTTCTTGATTTGAAATCATCCAGTGTTCTCTCATTCTGTTCAAACAACAGATTTTTTTTTCTTTTTTTCTTTCTAGGGATAGGTACTGTATCAGCACAATTAAGTGTTTTCAAATTCCAATTTTTCCCCAATGTCAGCCATAATTTGTTATTATACACACAGCCAAATGCTTTATTCAATATTCAGTGAAACACATTTCAAGACCTATCCTAAAGTACAATGGTGTAGGTGAAATGTGTACAGAAGTCAGTCCTGTTAATATAACTGTTGTTCTAATATATGTGCCAACAGCTGAAGCCAAAAATGAGAAAACGAAAGTTTACAGACAAATGTTGACCAAGCATGTATAATGGATTACTGGAAAGCTAAAGGTGGATACAAAGAAGAAGGAATGGTAGGTAGAAATTACAGAATTTTTTTAACAGAAATGAGGCTGGATATCAGATGATTTCATTTTGTACAGTCAATTATTTATTCACTGCAAATACTATTTTTTAATAAACATAAATTGTGATTATGCACTGTACTTCCCCTGATGGACTGCACAGAGGTTATATTGACTACTGAAGGAATAATATGACAGTTGCCCACCACCCCCAAGCTTGATCACTTCCTGAGCAACCTGATAGCTGTCATATCAAAGACCAGACCAGACAATGGATCCTGATAAGAGTTTGAGCTTAGAAAAAAGGTGCTAAAACCTAACTTAATTAACACGTCAAATTCTGAGAAATGCCATTTTAGTCATCCCCAGGACCCCTATAGAAAGGAAACCCTCCAAACTGCCTGTGCACACCTTTTAAGTCCTTTCTGCATGCCATGTGGCTCAGTCACTCGGCGTCCCTCTCAGACCATGCAATAAAGGCCTGTTCATTTCTTGGGACCAATTTCTTTCTTTGTTTTTCTCCCTCGTGTCCTCACACTCTTTCTTTTTTTTTTTTTTTTTAAATCTAACAACTATACTTCAGAATAAACTGTTGGAGAATCGCAATTTTAACAGTCAAAACCAGGGCAGGTGGGACAGAACATCAATTACTCCTGTGTAAGTATAAGTTGAGTCTAAAGAAAATGAAAACAAATTTACAAGGACCAAAACACAACCTAGAATCTATTCCACTTGAATTTAAGAATTGTAATAGTTTTTCCTTGAAACTAGAAGATACTGAAAATTGGTTGCACGAGGATGGTGAAGACCAGCCAAAGCAAGTTTATGTGGATAAATTAGCTGAGTTGAAAAATCTGGGTCAACCTATTAAGGCATGCTTCCAGGAATCTGAAGAAAGACCAAAATTATTTGAAGAACTAGGGAAACAAATCCAACAGTACATGAAAGTAACCACTTCTTTCAAAAACAAGGAGGACCAGTATGAGCATTTGGATGCTGCTGATATGATGAAAGTGGAAAAAAGCACAAATGAGGCTATGGAGTGGATGAACAACAAGTTAAATCTGCAGAACAAACAGAGTCTGAGCATGGATCCAGTTATCAAGGCAAAAGAGATTGACTCTAAAGTTAAGGAGTTGATAAATGTCTGTAGTCCTATTATTTCAAAGCCCAAACCCAAAGTGGAACCTCTGAAGGAGGAGCAAAAAAAATGCAGAGCAGAATGGACCAGTGGATGGACAAGGAGACAGTCCAGGGCCGCAGGCTGCGGAGCAGGGGGCAGACACAGCTGTGCCTTCAGATGCCAACAAGAAGCTTCCTGAAATGGACATTGATTGATTCGAACACTTGTTTATATTAAAACAGACTATTATAAAGCAAAAAAAGAAAGAAAAAAAAGAAGGAAAAAAAATCATCTCCAAAGCAGGTTTGAGACATTGAACACTAATGCTCAAAGACCAGAGGAGTTGTGTGTTGACATAAAAGCTATCATCCATGAAAACAGCTAAAGCTAATTATAAAGAAAGACAAAAAAGATTTAAATATGACAGAAGGGACTCTGAAAATTGCTTTAGAGGAAGGAGCCAAAGGGAAGCAAAAGAGCTCTGCTGAAGCAAAAGAGCTGAACAGAATATTTCAAAGGGCAGCTTGAGAAGACAAAGCAAAATATTTTATTGCAATATGCAAAGATTTTGACTAAGAGAATAAATTCTCCTAGTTCTTATTTATTTATTTATTGTTCCATTTTCACATATATAGGAAGCACCATAACTTGGGTCAATCATAGCTTCTTCAAACTAATGTCATTGCTGTTTGGCACTTTGTAGAGATTCTTTTAGGCAGATTTTCTCAGTGTAACAAATGATTTTATGTTTGACTTGCAGCTTCCATTGATGTTGATTGTGGATTGTGAATTCCAGTGACATTAAATTCTTGACAAATCCACTCCTTTAATTATGTATTAGGATGTTGCTTATTGACTCATAGTTTTTGTTTTTTCGTGTTTAAATATAATCAATACTTCAGTCTCTGGTCTTCATCAATAAGTACTTCAAGTTATCTTCAGTTACTAGAGGCAAAGCTGTGCCATATGTGTATGCAGACTGTTTGAGAATTCTTCCACCAATCTTGATATTACATACTTCTTTGTATAGAGAAGCTTCTTGCATTATTTCCTCAGCATATAGATTGGATAGGTATAATGAAGGGATATCATCTTGTTACAAACCTTTTATGATATTAAACCTTCTGTTCAAACAAATATGTCTTGGTTCATATTTAGGTTCCACATGAGAACAGTTATGTGTTCTTGCATTCCTATCTCCAGTGTTACTTCTGCCACCACAACTAAACACGGCTGTAAAGTAATTTCTATGTCATAGCAACTCTCCATTCGTGCTTCTGTGGTTGTAAATCTTCAAAGTGGGAGACTGTTCATCTCTCTCCCTTAGAGCAGCTGGTTGATTCAAACACCTGACTTTTCAGTTTGCAGCTAGCACCAAACCACCGGAGTAATCACCACCCATCAGAGCTACTTTCAGTTACTGTTGTTAATATGTGTCCTCAAGTCGATTCATAGGGATCCTGTGAAGAGCAGGCCTGAACACGGCCCTGTCCTGTGTCATCCTCACCATCTCTAATATACTTGAGCCCATTGCTTCAGTCACTGTGTCAATTCATCTCATTGAGAGTCTTTCTCTCTTTTACTAACTGAAACTGGCAATGACTTCATCTTTCTTGGATCCACAATCAATACACTTGGTATCAGCAGTCATGCGATCAGAAGACTTACTGCACTAGGAAAGTCTGCAATCAAGGACCTCTCCAAATTACTGAGGAGCAATGATGAAAGGTACACCTGATTCAGGCCATTTACTTTTTAATCATTTACTATGCTGCTAAGAACAAACTGCTATAACTTGTAGAAGATGCAGTCAGAGTACTTCTTCAGGGCAAAGATGACAGAGCTTCATCTCACAAACTTTGGGTATATTGCAATGAGAGGCTGTTCATTGGAGAGAGACATGCTGGGGAAGGTGGAGAGACAATAAAAGAGAGGAAGAACCTCAACCAGATGAACTGACACAATAACTGCAGCAATGAGCTCAAGTATATTAGAAATTTTAAGGATAACACAAGATCTGACAGGAAGCAAATCTATTCATAGTATTGCTATGAGTCATACTTGACTCGACAGTGCCTAACAACAACCACACTTTTCAAGCAGTGTGTCACTTTCCAAGAACTACCGTCTCCTAAAAAACATGATCCTTCTCTCCAAGGAGCACTCTGGCTGCATTCTTCCAACACAGACTTCTTTGTTCTTTTGGTAGTTCATGGAATATTCAGTACTCTTCTCCAATACCGCAACTCCAAGATTTTCTTTTCCCTTCTTTCATTCTTAGTCAATGTCTAACTTTCATATGCATAAGAAGTAATTGAAAAAGTCATGGCTTGACTCAGACACTCATTAGTCTTCAAACTGACATCATTGCTATTCAGCATGTTGAAGAGATTCCTGACTCCTGACTTCCCCAACTCAACACAAATTTTGATTTCTTAGCTACTGTTGCAATACTGTTCATTGTGGATCCAAATAGCATGAGACTTTTAACCACTTCAATCTTCTCTCCATCTATCATCATGTAACCTGCTGGTCCAGTGATAAGAGTTTTTGCTTTCTTAATGTTGAGATGTAATCCATATATAAAGCTGTAGTCTTTGCCTTCTGTAATACGTGTCTTAGATTCTGCTCTCTTTAAGTGAGTAAAGTTATCTCTTCTGCATACCACAGAAGGTTGTTGATAAGTCCTCTGATAACTCTTGGGTTCTTTCCATTGACTTAGTTGTTTTCTTACTTATTTTAAAAATTAAAGACTAATAAAAATATTTTTTAAGATAATGAACACCAAAAATAAAATAAAATTGATTTAACCATTTGTTAGTTCAATGGAACAGAACATCCTTCAGAGAAATTAGGACAGAATGTTAAATATTTTTGGCAAACACTTTTCCATGGATCTCTCTTATTTAAAGTTCCATTTGTCAGTGTATATTTTTAAGATCTTTGTATCACTAGTATCTTTGGAACATAGTACCTCCCTTTATAGAATATGTTTCAATGATACACTTAAAAGCACTCAAATGGATAGTGTGACCTTTTGGAACAATGGGTAGATTTACTTTTAGTATTACACCATAAAAGATTCTTTTTCTGCAGGACAAGTGTTATTTATTTATGTCTACTGTAAAGTATGTAATAAAGGTATTGTTTCACTCTGATTCAAAGGAAAGACATTTTTAAAACTTTTCCCAGTTAAAATAATAGTTTCTGAAATCCTGGGTTCCTCTTCTGTAAAGAATTGTATAAACTGCGCAGGTATTGTTCTGTCTGCTTTCCATCATCTTATGACCTTAGTTTTCTTTTGCTAAATATTATGTATGTACATTTTTTTACTGTTGAATATCTAAATATTATGAGTGTAACAGTAGCTGAGTTTTAATCAAATCTTCTATAAATTTAAATATTTTCTGTTTATGTATATTAAGGATCTCTGGTAACATGTTGTGATTCTAACCAAAAGGTCAATGTATTGAAACATACAGTTCTCTATGAGGAAAGATGAGCAGTGCCCTTCCTTAAAGAATTACAGCCTCAGAAATCCAAAGAAGTTTGCTATGACTTAGACTCAGCTCACTCACAGAAGACTTGTGGTTGCTTTATATGTATTTTCATTTAAAAGAGGGATATTGAAATCATCGACAATACTTGTAGAACTATAATTTCACCTTATAGCTATTTATCCCAGTTGACATTTCCTTGCTACTTTCCCTGTTCTTTTGATGAAGTAAATTCTCTCCTCATCTTCCTGATGAAGAAAAAAGTAACTTCTTTATCCCTGGCAATTTTTTTTTTCTCAAAAAAGTTACTTTCTGATACGAACTTAACCACTTCAGTTTCCATACATTAGTTGTTTCTGTATTAATGTAAGTTAATATTTTTATAATTAAAGATAATATCTTTTGAGCATTTAGTTTGGTTTTTCTTTTTAATAGTTAATCTGAAGATTTTTTCTTGAAAAGATAGTTTAGTTTAAATTTAAAGTAATAATAGATACTTTCAGATTTAAAAAATATTTTTTTGACTCTCCTTGCTTTGCATTTTACTATTATCCCTTTACTAGAATATTTTGAATTATTTTCCTGTTTACTTAGTGGACTTCATTATATACATTTTTAAGCACCCTACTGTTAAAATGAAGAGTTGGCAAATCAAATACCTATCCAGAAGATTTGAATGCAAAAGACCTGATGATCTATTCCCTTAAAGGCCCACTAAACACAATTGGAAAGCTTTACTCTGTTCTGTGAGCCAAAAATGTACTTAGTGGCAAATAAACTACAACACAGAACACAAACAAAGAGAACATACAAATACCAAATTTTTTACATTCTAATTTTTTATAGTTTTGATTATTTTGTTATATCCTTTTTGTATGTTTGTTTTGTTCTAACAGATAATCATTGTAGTGCATATGTTTAAGATGTGTGTCAGAAGCAGTGACAATGGCTTTTGATAGCATAGTGTTCAGAGCTACTATACTTATAGTGTACTCATAGGTCACCGAGTCACAGGCGCCTCGATGTTACATAACAATATATTTAACCATACATTACGTTATAGTGTTACATACCATCTAGTTGAAGCTGACTCATAGTTGAATCTCCAGCAGATTGTCAGCACACAATAACTAGAGTATAAAACTAGAGAAATGTAAAGATATTTACTATACCAGCAAATAAAGTTTCTAGAATAACAATATTGGACTATATTTGTTGTTGTTGTGTACTGTTGAGTAAGAACCAACCCATAGCTAATCCTCCAGTGGTTTGTCAGAGGTAGTAAATCACACGAGGAGAGATTGTCCATCCTTCTGCAGAGCAGCTGGTGGATCCAAACCATGTGTGCCTTTGGGATTGCAGCACAGTTTCTTACCCCTAGACTACCAGAGCTCTCCAGAATATCTTTAGGAAAGGTTAAAGAGCATGAATATATGTAAAATTCTGATTTAGTGAAATAATGAAAAATTATGTTTGTTAGTATTTTAATTTTTTAAAATGTTAATTTTTTTAAATTTTTGCTTTACAGATAATTTTTAAAAGATAGCTTAATATCTGGAAATGAATTAAGGATAATATGGTGTACAAATAGATTATGGTCAAAATTACTATCTTCCGGATGATAGATCTTACCAGGATCTTTTGTGCTTTATTGCCTATGCGAGGGCATTCGACTGTGTGGATTATAACATATTAGAGCTAATGTTAAGAAGAATGGGAATGGCAGAATACTTAATTGTGCTCATGCAAAAA